CAATGGGATGCACACACAATATATAATCTCAATGGGATGCACCACACAATATATAATCTCAATAGGATGCACCACACAATATATAATCTCAATGGGATGCACCACACAATATATAACATCAATGGGAAGCACCACACAATATATAATCTCAATGGGATGCACCACACAATACATAACATCAATGGGATACACCACACAATATATAATATCAATGGGATGCACCACACAATATATAACATCAATGGAATGCACCACACAATACATACACAATAGGATGCACCACACAATATATAATATCAATGGGATGCACCACACAATATATAATATCAATGGGATGCACCACACAATATATAACATCAATGGGATGCACCACACAATACATACACAATAGGATGCACCACACAATATATAATATCAATGGGATGCATCATACAATATATAATCTCAATGGGATGCACCACACAATATATAATATCAATGGGATGCATCATACAATATATAATCTCAATGGGATGCACCACACAATATATAATCTCAATGGGATGCACCATACAATATACAATCTCAATAGGATGCACCACACAATATATAATCTCAATGGGATGCACCACACAATATATAATATCAATGGGAAGCACCACACAATATATAATCTCAATGGGATGCACCACACAATACATAACATCAATGGGATACACCACACAATATATAATATCAATGGGATGCACCACACAATATATAACATCAATGGAATGCACCACACAATACATACACAATAGGATGCAACACACAATATATAATATCAATGGGATGCATCATACAATATATAATCTCAATGGGATGCACCACACAATACATAATCTCAATAGGATGCACCACACAATATATAATCTCAATGGGATGCACCACACAATATATAACATCAATGGGAAGCACCACACAATATATAATCTCAATGGGATGCACCACACAATACATAACATCAATGGGATACACCACACAATATATAATATCAAAGGGATACACCACACTATATACAACATCAATGGGATGCACCACACAATATATAATCTCAATGGGATGCACCACACAATATATAATCTCAATGGGATGCACCACACAATATATAACATCAATGGGAAGCACCACACAATATATAATCTCAATTGGATACACCACACTATATATAACATCAATGAGATGCACCACACAATATATAATCTCAATGGGATACACCACACTATATATAACATCAATGGGATGCACCACACAATATATAATATCAATGGGATGCATCGTACAATATATAATATCAATGGGATGCACAACACAATATATAATCTCAATGGGATGTACCACACAATATATAACATCAACAGGATGCATCGTACAATATATAATATCAATGGGATGCACCACACAATATATAATCTCAATGGGATGCACCACACAATATATAACATCAATGGGAAGCACCACACAATATATAATCTCAATTGGATACACTACACTATATATAACATCAATGAGATGCACCACACAATATATAATCTCAATGGGATACACCACACTATATATAACATCAATGGCATGCATCGTACAATATATAATATCAATGGGATACACCACACTATATATAACATCAATGGGATGCATCGTACAAAATATAATATCAATGGGATACACCACACTATATATAACA